CCCCAAAACCCCAAAACCCCAAAACCCCAAAACCCCTTCTAAAGCCCAAGATATTGATTGTAATAAATTTATTTCCAGAAATGAGCTTCTTAGCACACTCTCGTAAATCTCTCCTTAAAAAACCCACCAGTAAGTTCTTCTCCCTAACTCTTCACAGCTGGTCACTCTAAATCTCTTCTCAAAAACAGCGCTATCCAAGGTACCTACTCCAGATTTTTGGTTTTTAATTTCTTTACTAAGCTAAGCTTGAAATTAACCTAGGCTGATGCAACAACTTGCTTTAAGTGTTTTAGATTGTGACTGAGATAGAGGGATGGATAGAAGTCAATACAAGGGATGTACACGGCTCCATATTGATGAATATGATGAGTATTATTCTCAATTTATGACAGTAAGGCTGCTTAAATTTCTATGATTAATGATCATAATTTTCATATCTCTAGGTTTCGAGACAGAATGCTCAAAGAGGCGAAAGAATTAAATAAGTTAGTGAAGGATATCAGAAACCTAAAGGAAATAATAAGGAAGAAGGAAGAGAGAATAAAGAGTCTTGATGTGGCAGTGAAGGATGTGGACAGTAATAGAGGAAGGAAAGGTAGGTAGAGTTAGGGAGGGAGATTTATTGGGAATAGGAGAGGGAAAGTCAAGAGAGAAGACCCCGAAGTGAATGGTGAAAGAGCTGAGTTTTTCGATTTTTGATGAGAAGGTATGAAGTTTTTAAGTGAAAGAGAAGATTGCTAATGGTTTTTGGTAGAGTATTAGTTGATTCCAGGGATATCAGGGCTTAATTAATGGGAAATTTTATAGAAAGAAAATATTCAAAATATATGAGACATAAAACGTTATAAAGACTTTGGTATTCAAACCCTTACAGAATCAGAATTTGAATCTTCATCAGCCTCTTCCTCATACCAAGAAGATGAGAACCTCGACACAGTAGGTGAAATTGGAACCCAAGAAATCCCCATAAAACTCGGCCCTGCAATCCTCTCTCAACCCCTTAATGAGTCAGACAAACTGAATCCTCTAGATCCTGTTTCCAGCTCCTTAAAGCCAATGCAGCACGATTTATTTAAAAACTTAGACACCCAGACCCAGCTGAGGAAGAAGTCCTCCAGCATGAAGAACCGGATGATCCCTCGTGGCACTCTCAGCTTGAAAGATTACGAAACCAGCATAATGAAGATGGTCAAAGAGAACATGATTTTGGAAAAATAAAGTCAAGAAGCAAATGAAGATGTTCACCAAAGAAAACAAAGAGATGAGGACCAACATGATGAAGGGCTCTTTTGACGAAGCAGACACAACTGGAAATGAAAAGATCCACCGCCAAAACGCCGCTAAAATTGAAAGACTCAGCTCCCATGATGAAGAGAAGTTTGAAGAAATCCTAGAAGAGAAGGAGAAAGAGCTTGAGAAAATGCACAATATGAACGCTTCCTACAGAGCTCAACTTATTGACCTTAAAATCGCAATAAGTAAATCAAGAGATTTAGGAAGATTCTCAAATCACATTGAGGAAAATGAGATCAGAGGTAATCTTGATGAGTTCGAACTTGAGCAAGCTAAAGAGACTATTGTGAACCTCGAAGATAAAGGTAACTCCTAAGGTAAACAATATAGTAAAAGAGCTTGAAAGCATAATAGAGACCTTTAGGAGCCAACAATAGGCTTACAAGCTGTAAAGATTTAAACAATTTTTAGTTTGTAGTTTAGCAACCACTTGAACTTGAATAAAGCCTTCAATTTATAGTAGAAATCATGGGGTTTTGGGGTTTTGGGGTTTTGGGGTTTTGGGGTTTTGGGGTTTTGGGGTTTTGGGGTTTTGGGG